AGCGTTTACACTGTGGGGCGAGAGGGAGAGTAAGGTAGGCGCCCGGCGTTTACATTGTGGGGTGAGAGGGAGAGTAAGGCAGGCGCCCGGCATTTACACTGTGGGGTGAGAGGGAGAGTAAGGCAGGCGCCCGGCATTTACACTGTGGGGTGAGAGGGAGAGTAAGGCAGGCGCCCGGCATTTACACTGTGGGGTGAGAGGGAGAGTAAGGTAGGCACCCGGCATTTACACTGTGGGGTGAGAGGGAAGCACTCACTTGTTGCCCAGGCTGTGGCTCTTCCTGTGGCGAGATGGGGGTGGGGTGGGAATGTGCGCCCCCACCGAGGTGTCGGGGCAGGTGGGACGGCGGCTGAACCTCACTGAAGCCGCCACCTCTGACGGGCCTGGGGGAGACAAGACCAAACCTGGGTCATGGGATCCAAAGTCATCAAAAACACAGCTGAGGTTTCCCAGTGACGAGGCCTGCAAGCAGCTTAATGTCACCAGCTCATGAACGATGAACGGCGTCCTAAAATTCCAGTCCAAGGATGGATGAGCGGGAGAAACCATATCATTAACTGACCTGCTGCTGCTTGATCACGAATGCCTGCTAGTGCTTTATGGTTGCTGTTTATTGCTAACTCTGTGCAACTAGTCATAGTCATCATACCGAAATCATGGCTGCTGGATAGGAACAAATGATGAATGCAATGTTCTTCATGCCCCTCCAGCTGGCATCAGCCTGGCATCTCTCTCTCTCTCTCTCTCTCTCACACACACACACACACACACACACACACACACACACACACAGGCCTGCTAATGGTAACTATGACAACCCTAACCAGCCCTAACTATAACCATAAGTAACTAAACAAAATACAAGATTATTTGCATTTTCAGTTTTTTGACTGCAGTCACAGCAACTGGTCCCCGTAAGGCGTTGGTCCCCACAAGGTAGGGTACATCTGGACCACGCACGCACGCACAAGGGACACACACGTCTAGTTAGCTTTATTTCTCAATATTCCTGTTTACATTTCCCCTCCAGTTAGACTTAAGTGTGCTGGGAACTGGGAGGCCTTTCTGGGCTCCTGAAGGACTGGGCTGAGGAAGACTTATGTAGACCAGGGGCTTGCAAGGTGATGTTCGACAGAGGATTCCCAGAATATGTTTATAACATTTTAAAAACATAAAAAATAAACGTAATCATAACTGCAACCAGTCACTACGATAAATCTGTCTTGGGGGACCTTGGGGGACCTCCTGGTCAGAAAACAGGGGTCACATGTCAGGCTGACATCGTTATTTCAGGGGTCATAGGTGGAAATGTTTGGGGATGCATGCTCTCGAGCGGCTGCCCTCACACCCCGGGGCGGCTGTCTTTACCGTTGTTTCTTGTTAAGCTGAATATTCAGATCTTAGACGAAGCTTTTTTTTTTGAGATTTACACACAGCTGAACAGTTTCCAGTTTCCTGAAGTCACTTTCAGGATAAGTTTCTGCTTGCGAAGCAACAGCAGCAGCTTTTCTGAGATTCTTTGCTGCCGTAGTACCAGGTGAAAATTATCCATCATTAACAGCTTACTGTGGCTTTGCAAATAACTGTCCTGGGGGGGCACAGCTTTCCAGGCATCGCATACTTATTCAGGATTATGGTGCAAGCTTTGTGCGTGTGTGCAGGTTTGGGGGGACATGCGGCTCAGTCTGGGGGGTCCACAACATTCTGCTACATCCAGAGCACCTCTTAATGACATTTAAGAGTTAAACTTAACAGACCCGTAAAGAAAAACTCCCAGGATCAGGATGCAGACTTATCAGAGATTGGCCATTTCAATCTGCAGAGTGACCAAGGATTCTCACACTAAATCCAAGGGTGATAAAGTCCTTTCCTAGTGGTGCTTGTGACTTTATGTGCAGTTGTCTTTTTTTTATTATGCCTCACGATTATTCGGTCCTCAATGCCTCTGTCATTAAGACATCCTGGATAGATTTGATTTGGAGAATGCAGATGTTTTCCTAAGCCTTGAGGTAATACTATATTTAAACTCTGTTTCAGGGAAAAGCATAACGCATAATAAATACAGATAACTAGCGGTTAATTGGACCCATTAAGCCAGGCAATAGGAAAGGCAGGAGACATGGACAGACCCCTGCCAGTAATTCAGCTAGACACCCGGGTCCATTTAAAGGGATCTTGTGATTGGGCCAAAAGCACATTATTAAAGGGAAGGGATAGGCAAGAGGGCAGTGTTTTCATGTTTCTATGGAAACATAAAAAAATATACGGCATGAGCGCACCATTCATCACAAATGTTTACACGGAAAACTTGCCATAAAAAAGTGATAAAATGATAAGAACGTAATGCTGACTGGAGGCGATGTGTCAGACAGACGACGTTTGGGTTCGGTCTGCAGTCTGACCCATTTTTTTTTTTTTTTTTAGAGCCGGTGGGCCGTTGTGCAGGACCCAACAAAGGCCTGATGATCACATACAGGGTCCACGTGGATTGCCTGCCCTCACGAGGCTTTGAAGAGAAACAAAAATGAACTCGCACAGAAGCCAAATGCAGCAAATGCTGGACATTTGGATCCACAGATTGTACCAACCACAGTGTGTCCAGCATGTGGTGTGTTGGCTGCGAAACCCAGTGACCCGGTATCCCTGAATTCCCTGCAACATGCAGACAGCTTGGAAAAAAGCGACATAAAGCAGACAGCTTCAGTACGTTTGCAACTGCTCTCGTGTACTGGAGAGTTTAAGGGTTAATTTGCTCAAGGTTAGGCTTTGGAATGGTGATTACTGCCTGGTACAAGGATACCTTAATGCTAGCAATTTATGGATATTCAAACTTAAGTTAAATTTAAGTTCATTAAATTACATTTATGCCAGTTCACTTAATGTTTAAGATCAAACAGAGTGAAGACGTTAGGCTTACTTCTAACTTTCACCCTAAGTAACTGAAAAACTGTCACAGTAAATACTGGTTAATGCCTTCTTGCTCCATGTAGTACATGAAAGGATTAACCAACCTAACAAGTAGGAAACCATTACCAAGGCCAAGCTAACAACAAGCATATAACTTGTTGTGGATATTCCAGCCTTAGGAGACTCTGAAGGCCAGCCACAGTTTGGTACATGCTGCCTAAGTGAGCCTCCCTTCTCGCCCTTGATCACTCATTTCTCAATAAAGAGTGTCCACCTCACCATTACCAGCAGCGTAGAAATCCTGAGTGAAAAGGACGGACCAGATCTGAGACATTGTGCAAAGGTGGCGACCATTTCAATGGAGGCAGGAAATATCACTGTGACATCCACTCCGCCTAGCATGTGCAAGAGTTCAGAAAATGTCCCCCACAGATAAGGAAGGGTGCAGCAGTTCAGGGGGGACAGACAAAAGAAGTTTCGGCTGGGGGAGGCTCTCTCCATTACCTGCAAGGTCTTCCTTTGAGGACACCAGGCGAGGAGAGCTGCTCCCAGGTTCAATCTTCAGGGACAGCCTGCAACAGAGAGACAAGACCTGTGAGCGGCACAGCAGCAGCTACATGGAGATGGAGAGTGAAAGGTGGCCCCCTGGTGGCCATCGTGTTAATGACCAGTCATACAAACACATACACACACTTCTAGCCACCATGAAAAAGCAGATATGAATGTTACTGGTAAAACACACACTACATATGGGCTGGGGGGAGGGGGGGTTGTCATCAAAGTAATGCTCTTTAGAGACTTGCACAGGCGAGACAAATAGGATTCATCAATGAATATGGCATTTTCTGATCAGCAAGCCATGTGGTACGGCCTCCTCTTCTTTACAATGCTTACATATTTTCAATTGAATGATCTTTGATTCACTGAGCAAGTCTGACAGAAAGCCTGCAGCACGCAAATTTGTACTCTTTGAACTGGTTGGGTGTAACAAAACCTTGGTCTGGATTTTTACTTTCTGGACTTGAACTTTCCACCTCTGCATTATGAACAGAGATAAACACGCAGACTGACACATGCCTATATAACTGTCTGTAAACTGATAAAAACATAAATACATATCAGAAGGTGTCACAAGGCTGTACGAGTAAACGAACCATCCGTGGAACGACCCCATGGAGTTATGAAGTGCACTCTATGTCCCAGATAGGGGACGAGGGTTCCGAGCAAATGATGGATTAAGTGATTTCCTAGACCGGCTGAAATTACGCACTCAGATTTGGAGAACATCCAACACACATGCAGAGAGGGAGACGTGTCCGAGATGAAAGGCACGACACACGCGCTTCAGAGTCGGTGTTTCCACTGCCTTCAGACTGGCTGTTAACCTGAACAGAGCTACGGAAGGGTCTCGCCTCATGCCGTGCTTCAGAAATATTCTTAAAGCACGGGAAGGCACTTGGGGAAGTGATGCCCTATAATTTGTTTTGATCCTCATAAAACGGTTTTGTTTCCAGATCATTGGATACGTTCCTGATGCACAGTGCCCCCTCCTGGCAGAGACAGAGCTTCTTTCCAGAAGTCACTGGAGGCCTGTGGAAAATGGGCTATGGGGAGACCCAGAGAAACACTCTTTTTCCACCCTAATTACAGGGAAAAGACTTATTATCGCCATTATTCTGCTGGAAAATGGGCTTGCAGAGGCAGTAGTGGCTTTATAACTTTTATAGAAAAGGCAGTCCTGGTGTTTTGAAAGAAAAGCCCCCCCTATCCGCTCCCCAGTCTGGATACTACAAGCTTCCCGCAGTTCCTCTATATTTCTGCCCTTTTGTCTGCAGCAGCACTAATGCAGACAGAAATGCTTTATTAGTGGCGCTGTAATTTTCACTTATGATTAACTAAAAATAAAACCCCAACGGGTAACTGTACAGGATGTCCCAAAAAGTCTTAGTGCCGTTTAAGCTTTAATAACTTACATAGTATAAATGTACAAGCTTACAAAGAACAACATCTGACAGTCGTTTTTTTTTTTTTTTTAAATGAATTTCTCAGGTAACCTGACCAATGTCCTTGACACTTTTTGGAGTGGGGGGGGGGGGGGGGGGTTCATGTTAAAATTGTCACGTACGCATTGTAGACTCTTTCTCACTATGGTCTTAAGGCTGGGATCACAAAAGCAATCCATTCAGTCACAAAGCAGCAGCTGATGAAGCTTTTGAAAAATTTGAAAATTGACTAGCTATAGGACAAGACAGCGATTACGTTGTGCAATAAGAAAAATTAAAAAACTTTAAAAAAATTTAAGAAAATAAACTTTTTTGTATGTTTCTAGTATTTATACTTTGGACGTTATTATAGTTTAAAAACTGCGCAAAAATAGCACTTAAACTCTTGGGACACTGTACCATTATGCTGAAAACATTTCTGTGCATGAACATTATGAAAGTTCAGATGCCAGTTCTCAAATCAATGAGTACTATAATATAAAATACACATACATGTATCCACACATATACATAAATATACATAGAGATATATGGACTGACTGGAGCAAGCTGTCTGAGAAGGTTAATTCAGGCGAATTTGCTTGGGTTACAAAAGCCTACAGTTAGTACAGGAACACAAACTGAGAAATGAGGAACGGCGCAGAGCTTCCCCTGAAGAAATCCACAGAAATGGCAGACGGGTGAGGAGGACCAGCAGCCAAGTAGTCTCCCAGTCAGGAGACCAGCAGTGTGGCACCAGATGAACGTTCCCGTAACGGAGCAACGTGTGTGAATTGGTCCGCCTTTTTATGAAACCTTTAGAACACCACAAGCACACCATAAAGCCCACTCTCTCCTCCAGTGCGGCTTACAGCTTTTGTTCGGGAATCTGACAGTAACTACCCAAGTGCTACTAGACACTAATTAGCATCTGCAAGCAATTTCAGCCAATTGGTGAATCACTTCCAACATGCATTAAACTGTAAATGAAACAGTTTCAAGTAACTTCCACTCTTAGTGAGCTATCCAAAGGCCTGTAATGCATTAACATATCTCTAGCATCTTAAACTGCCTGAAAACAATTGTGGAGAAGCACTTAATTTTTATGGCGGCTCAAACTTCGTCCACCAGAAATAATATGGGTAGCTCTCAAAGCATTCCACACCTATGCCTGCACTGCCGCACCATCCTGCCTGAGCATCACCACCTGGTTTAGGAGCTGCACCATGCAGGTCTATGCAGCCCTGCACAGAGTGGTGCGTCCGGCTGATGTGACCTCTGGAAGCTGCAGACCACCCACAGGAAGTGGTGCAAGGAAAAAAATTATGAAAATAATAAAAGATCCCACCCACCCCAACAACAGCATCTCCTCGCTCCTCGGCCTAAACTTAGAGACTGAAAACAAGTTTATACCATCAGACTGTCCATATATGGAACGGGGACTCCCATAGCTAACACACCACTTACCAAACGGGGACTCCCATAGCTAAGACGCCACTTACCGAACAGGGACTCCCATAGCTAAGACGCCACTTACCGAACGGAGACTCCCATAGCTAACAAGCCACTTACCGAATGGGGACTCCCATAGCTAACACGCCACTTACCGAATGGGGACCCCCATAGCTAAGATGACACTTACCGAATGGGGACTCCCATAGCTAACAAGCCACTTACCGAATGGGGACTCCCATAGCTAACAAGCCACTTACCGAATGGAGACTCCCATAGCTAAGACACCTCTTACCGAATGGGGAGTCCTAGAGCTAATGCACCACTTACCGAACAGGGACTCCTAGAGCACTTTCCGAACGGGGACTCCTAGAGATAAGACACCATAGCTAAGACACCACTTACCGAACGGAGACTCCCATAGCTAAGATGACACTTACAGAAAGGGGACTCCCATAGCTAAGATGACACTTACAGAAAGGGGACTCCCATAGCTAAGATGACACTTACAGAAAGGGGACTCCCATAGCTAAGATACCACTTACTGAACGGGGAATCCTAGAGCTAACACGCTACTTACCGAATGGGGAGCCCCATAGCTAAGATGACACTTACCGAATGGGGACTCCCATAGCTAACACACCACTTACCGAATGGGGACTCCCATAGCTAACACACCACTTACCGAATGGAGACTCCCATAGCTAACACACCACTTACCGAATGGAGACTCCCATAGCTAACACACCACTTACCGAATGGAGACTCCCATAGGTAACACACCACTTACCGAATGGAGACTCCCATAGCTAAAACACCACTTACCGAACAGGGACTCCTAGAGCTAACGCACCATTTTCTGAACGGGGACTCCTAGAGCTAACGCACCCATTACTGAATTTGGACTACTATAGCTAAAAGAAAAAAAGCTAACAAATAAAATAAGCAGCCAACAGCAAAATAAGCAGCAAGAGCAATTTCACATTCAGATTCTTTTCAAAAGATGAACACTCAAAATCACACGCCTGCACAAAGTCCTCTAACAGCTTGGTTTGTCTGGGTAAGATGGCATCATTGCGACACCCTGTTGGCCAGAGCCATGGGTCACACATTCCAGCTCGAAGCCTGTGAGATCTCAGAACCATGGGTCACACATTCCAGATCTCAGAACCGTGCCTGCAGGCGAATTCCAACAGGAAGCTCCTTCGTCTAGAAGGAAATGACATGCCATGCCACCTCATTCCCTTTTGCTCAATCCCTTGTTTTTCCAGAAGTTTCTAATAGTGATTCATTGTTTTAGGCACTATGTTTCACAGCAACCGCCAGATACCTCCATATGTCCTTCAGATGAAATGGGGGGGGGGGTCACCATTGCCAGTCTGAGATACTAGCAAAGCTCGGGAGGAAGAACACTTCCAGTTCATTTTGGTAAGGTGCCCTTCCAAACATAGGTGCCTCAGGGCACTTTAAATATGTACTTTCCACTGTGAAATTGGAAAAAACAAGGACGACATCATTTCCGCCTGTGTAATGGAGCGATACAGGTCATTCTATCTCCATGAGGATCTCACCATTTAATAAACAACTGAGGGTGCTCTCAACCGGTCCCTTCACTCAAGACACTCTCCACAGGCACAACAACAGAACCCTGATTAGGGATCCCACAGAGCAAAATTGTCACCTGTAAACGGGAGCCAACTTCTTTCCCTTAAAATGTCAATCAACTGCTTTCAAGTCCCTGTTCATGTATGTCAAACAAATGAAACGCCAATGAAGAGACCAAAAGCATTTTAGGATCCATAAGGTGAGATTAAATAATATCGGCATGTATTTTTAGCCTCTTTAGTTGCTTGGGCCTGTTTTACTGAACCTCCGTTTAACAACTAATGAGACATGATTGTGCTCTAGTCAATCACGCATCTAGAGAAAAGTCAGCAGCCAATTGAGTGAAGCTATCAGATAATTCACACCTACCACCAGCATACTATACTCTGACATGTGTTCTGCCCGCTGAGGGCCCACTGAAATGTTATCGAAGCCGGTTGATTCCTCTTGTCTAGGATCAGATGGCTGGGGTCTCCTTGTCACATCCCCTTGTTCAAAAAGCGCTTGCTTTCATTCACCCAATTCCTCCTCGGACTCGGAGATGCCAACAAGCCCAATATCCGGCAAAACGCAGGCACCTCTGGAACAAGTGAGTTAATTGGAAAGAGGCCGTCAAGTGTCTGGGCCTCGTGCCGCTCTTTATGTCCTCCTAAATCGATGTGGAGAAGGCGGATGAAAAACACACGCAGCCGGCTTGCCGCCCAGCAGAGCCAGTTAAACACATCGTTATGCTACAAAGCCCCACCCCCCGGTAAGGGTCGGAAGTTTAAGTGGGAGAGTTGGTGTGACATCATGGCTAATTACTGGAAATTTTAAATGTGATGACAAAGACGAAAGAAAATGTTTTTCAGAAAAAAAAAAGAGGAGAATTACTTCATTTTCAAACAGGCTTGAAGGCCAAGGGAGAGTAAATGGCACTTCAATAGAAGAGTACGATCTCGCCGCCATTCCGTTACAGTCTGACCTCACCGTGTGCTTCAGGAGGTCTTGCAAAACTGCTGCATGCTTGGCCAATGTAGATAAAGCTTTTCTACCAATATGAAACACACGTACAGAGGAGAATGCATGTTCTAGCATTTTCTGCTGCCCTGTTAGCATCCGGAAATGTTACATAAATGCTTTCTAAACCAAATCTACGGAGGACTTCAAATAGGTACCCCTGTCTCCCTCCTCCTACTCTCGCTCTTTCTGTCTTGACTTTAATCATGAAGGATGCCTGGTTTTTATAGAATGTTGTAGCATTTGGTGATTAAGGGCATGGACCCATTACTTAGCTGGTTTGAATTGTAGGACAGGTCTCCGCTCCAGCAGAACAGAATAAGTATCCGCAGATGCAGATCTAAGGCAGCGAGCCTCAAAGCTCGATAGCTAATCAACATTAAAATACTTGTGGGCTGCACTTCACTTGTCACAGAACTAAGTTGCAGAACTAAGTGCTGACCTCAGCATGCTATCATACCCTGGTAAAGTAATGCATTACGTCATACCTAGGAGTCTAAAAAAAAAAAAAAACAAATTTATCGGACATTATCACACGCCTCAAGCCCAGGGTGTTCCCATGGATAAACAATGCCCAGTGTGGGTCCGAGTCAAGCGGGGATACCAAGCCTCACAGCAAGACAGTCTGGGCTTTTGGGGTTTGTTAGACACCAGTCCAGTTAAATTAGGCTCTGTGTTTATTGAAACTTTCAGTGAGGCACACGGGCCTCGTGGTCGCCCCTGAGAGAGCATCTAGCCTCTGCCAGATCTCATATCCAGCTCACTTTTCTGTAAAAGCCCGTTACACTCAATATGAAGGAAGAACGACACATCTGGGCGCGGCATTTAAGGTGATTCGGATCATTTGCCAGCGGCCCTGAGCATGTGGTGGACAGTGATCCATGGACACAAACTTCCCAAAACGTAGACGGCAGCTGCATTCGCTGGATGCTTTGAGTAGAGGGGAAGCATCTTTCAAAACCATTATTTCCTTTGGAACGCGAAAAACAAGCAGGAAAACAAGGTAACCTAGGTGACAGCTCGACGTGTAATATGTTTTGCGGGAATGCAAGCCTGTATTTCGTTATCGCTGCCTCCACATTTGTAGACCAGGCTGCGTTAATCCGAAACGGACACGGTGTTTGTGAACAATCTGCCAACATCCTGCCTCAAGGCTTGGTTTTGTCTGGGCCCATTTGTGATCAGCGTTGCCAACTTAAAAAGAAAAAAAAAATGATTAAAAGCAGTTTTTTTGTTTGTTAATGGCGTAACCGTATAGCAGAACACATGCTGTCATTCTGGAACAGAAAAACCAGAAGGGAATGAGCCCAAGACCCGAGCGGGATCCAGCGGTGAGCTCACACTGGATGAAAAGCACACTGTGAAACGTATCTGCCTCCATGTCGGACCATGAAGGAGCCTTTCCTTTAAGACTAATAACGTGTCTCAGCATCTACGTATGTATATATGTGTGTGTGTGTGTGTGTGTGTGTGTGTGTGTGTGTATCTATCTATGTATCATCCATCAGTCTATTTTCCATCCATCCATCCATCCATCCATGTAATAGGATGTACCCCATTCCAGGTTGTCCCCTGCCCTGCTCTCAGTGCTTCCTGAGACAGACCCTAGGCTCACGGTGACCCAGAACTGGATAACTAGCACAGCAGATAGATGGATATGGAAATGACAGGGAAACGACAGGAACTGAAGAGTCCTTTCAGGAGAGCGAGCACGGATAAATGGGACGCATTTACATCGGTGTGGTGACTCACTCTGGGGGTAAGGTCACTGTGGGCCTGGCTTTTCTCTGCTAGTGTCTCTCACTGTGAAAAGCTCCCCCAGGCAAGTGGCCAGATATTAATAAAGGCAGAGTAATAAACGACAGCGCTGACTGGCGCTTTGGAGCCAGAGACGAGGCCAGCTCTGGAGACCTCTGCTAACACGAGCAGGATGTGCGGGGATGCCGTCCGCGCTGGCATTGCTCACGAGCGCAAGCCGCGATTACACCCCTCTGGCACACTGGCAGAGACTGTCAGACCCATCTGAGGAATTGATTCCACCGGGGAAACACATACGAGAAGTTTATTCCGGCTGGATTACATCTGACGAACGCTGCCCCCCCCCCCCCTTGTCCGAGCATCTCGGCAGATGTGTCAGTGCTGCAGCCCGGCCGTGCTGATTCCACTTCCTGTCGATCCCGGCCGTGCTGATTCCATTTCCTGTCGATTGGACACCCCTGCAGAGCGCACACACAGCCCAGGAGAGATGGCTCAGGCTTACTTGTAGTTGTCGTCCTCCACGAACTTCTGGAGCTCCTCGATGTAGCGGACGGACATCAGGTACTTCTGTACGTGAGGCAGCGTCCCCAGGTGATCTATGATGGCACACAGCGGGGCGAGCGTAAGAGGTCTGTCTAGGTCTCTCTAATTAGTCCCTGTCACCTAGGAGATGCTAACGAATACATAAGCATTACACTCACTGCTGCCCCCCGCCCCCCGCGATACTCTGGGATTCGTCTGTGCATCGCGTGACACACGACTAAAAGGGCTCTTCGTTATTTAAAAATAAAACATGGTCCCTCTAAGGGAGGATGGGAAGAAATTACCATGAAATGACAAGAGCACTTTGTCAGATGCTGTGAGAAACATGTGGATTAAGTTTCCATAACGACAGTACAGATGTGGAAGAGGAGGAGGGGCCTCAGCCCCCCGCCCCAGCAGAGGCTGCAGGGGGGCCCAAGAGAGAAGGAAGGGATCCTGTCCAGGGGACACTGCACCACTTTGGAGGTTCTCTCTACTCCGGAAGGTACTGACCATAACTGCAGGACATCTGCAGGTCGGAGAAGACCCGCAGGAGGTTGTTCATCTGATTGGTCCTCTGCTCTGTCTCTATGATGCTGTCAGAGGCAGGGTAGGCAGAGTCTATGTAGATCATGTCAAAGAGGTAGATCCCTGCAGAAGGAAGGGAGGGGAGAGGTGTTTACAGAGACCACTCGTCTAAAAGACGTGGGGTTCGTGGATAAGAACAGCAAGAACTTGATTTCTCCATCATTTATCCACCGGACGGGATCTGAGCGAGCAGAGACAAATGTGGATTTCAGTGTAGCACAAGACAATGGGGAAACATACAGCAGATCCTGGGATATCTGGCTACTGTGCTTAAGCCGCTTCCTGTCACTGCACCATGGATGGCGTCGAGGAAAACACTGCAGCACCCCTACAGTGTCCCAGAAAGTCATGCATGAATTTTACATTCCCCAAAGAATTCCCGCAGGTTTAATAATCACTGCCAAGCCAATAAGTACCACATAAATCTCCAGTGAATATTATTTGTTTTAGGATAAACATTTTTATTATGTGTGACGGAGATGTTTGTGTTTCACATCATGACCACTTACTCTAAGGAGAGGAAATCTAAAGCACAACACGCAAGAGGGTCGTCCACATAACAAATGACTTTAGGCCACAGGCAGAATGTAATTTCCTACAGAAAAAAAACACTTTAAAATTGTTTTAATTGTGGTGCCAGTCATCACAGGTGCTGTGATTCATACTGCCCATTGTCTCTTCCATTTTTCCTTCATCTGCTCCAGCCAGTAAATAGTTCCTTCTACAGTTCCATCAAACACACAGTTTATTTTATTCGTCAGATCCACGCAGGCTGCCCAAAGCGATTCACACGTGCGGGGCACACGCACAACCTATTCGTACACTAAAGAAATCATTAAATAAAGCCAGTCTGGGTCAGGAACAATTCCCATAATGCAACAAGGGTGTGAACACCCTTGCGGGTTTCTCAATGTTGACCATACTCATGTATGCTTTTTGCTTCTTCCATTTCCATAGACCAATTCCAATACTGTAACACTAGTACAGAGGACAATAAAAATCCCTCAATGTTGTTCTTGCCCCACCCCAAATATCAAGGGTACATCAGTTGCATCCTCACCAAACAAGACCAATCCCATGATTCACCGAACCCCAAGTTCGTTTTTGTGAGGTTAGCAAAACCGATCTTTGCATTGTCAGTACTGAAAAAAATCCAGAGCGTGAAGCATAAATCTTCAAGATGTGTCAACAATAAGCGAATCAGGAGCAAAATGTGTTGGGGGGGGGGGGGGGGGGGTTATATGCAGGACCGACGCGTGGATGACGCTCCACAATCAGGTTTTTTTTTCTTGAGGACACTGCTGTCCAGGTTCGATGTGGAAACTCTCCCTTCATACAACATGATGTGAATCAGAACAGCCGCAGGACAAATGCACTGTAAAGCTGGGAAGCAGCTCTGCCGACCCCTGCAGATTTCTTAGGATGCAGCGGACTGTCACACCAGGCAAAGACTAAGGGGGTGAAGGGGCTAGTCAACTACCACGCCTGGACTCATATGAAATTGTGCTCCCCCCTCGATATCAAACTGTCTCCTATGCCTTTGAATGTAACCATGAGCATAGCTCTCATTGCAGCACATGGTAGAAGAAAAAGGAAAAACTCACTTTACTCAAATGGAGGAACCACCCACCTCATTACAAAGAGAGCTGCAACATCTGTGTAATCCATATACGGCTCATTTATCAAAGTCTCTACTAACTCCAGGTGAAGTTTGATTATTTTATCTGAATATGGAAAGTTCTGATGCTTAAATTTACATACATTAACATATGATATGAATTACTTTCAAACAATCTTCTCGATTGTTTCAATCTACACACTAGCTCAAATGATGATTAAGGCCATTTTTAAGGCCCTGTCTTCAATGTGTATACCATCGCGTCAATGTTGCTTACACCCAGTTCCCAAACAGTCACGATAACTGGTTTTTAGATTTTCCCGATAATCTAAATATATACCTAACGAGATGCATTTGTGAGGCAATCGAATCACATGCAGTCCATTATTTTGATCAATAGATTGTGCTGAAATCTGAATATGACTCCATTAGGAAACTTCTAAAACGCTAAAAAGGCTGCTTTCCAAAACAATATATCATTGTTTCAGGCATCACATTTGGTTATTTGTTTGACGCAGCCTTCCGGAACTTTGTGAGCTGGGCTGTTGGAATCTGATTTACCATCCAGTCTAGCGTGAAACTGAACATGTGGTGAAATGTGATCATAAAATCATGCATCAAAATGAGTGTCTAAAAAAATAAACAAACAAAATGGCCTTGAATAGAACCCTCCGCTTTCGCCAGTGTACACGGCACTGGTTGAAAAGGAAACAAGCTGCATCGATTGGAGAGGACTTTCCGACACGATGTGAATACAGAACCCTGGGGAGTTTCTGGGACGTCAAAAAAGCCCACAAATCAGTTTTACAATTTAAAGCTCACGGCAGGATTCAAACTTGCATCCATAAAACAAACCGCAAACAACGTAATGAACTAATTTAAATATTTTACAAAATCGTCTGAAAAACCCAGCAGATCCACACCATAAACATGCACAGTAGCTGAAACTTCCAGAAAGTGTTCCGCTTAGACAACACTGTTAACCACATGTGACGAATGTGTTAACAGAATGCAGTTCGGAGGTTTGAGAATTTGTGACAAACATAATTTAGGTTAGGAACTGAAATTCAGCAGGAGACGTAAATGAGCCCCAGAGGTCTAAGGGAGGCTAATTCTGTCACAGTTATAGTTTCCAAGGCAGCACAGCTCAGGGCCGTATGTTGTGTATTTTAATGTCTATCTATAAGTGTTTCTATATAGTCCTGTCTGTGCATATTGTATATACTGTACTGTACTGCTACCTGCATTATTGCATTTATTGTAATTTTCCCAGACAGCCAGCTTGTGAAGATACAGAGAACAGGTCAACATGTCAGCTTGAACTGGGACACAGCTGTGATTGGATAACTGGATCCACCACTATCTACCATCACAGAGGCCTTCACATACTTTATCGGACTTCAAGCTGCTCGCCAGTTCGCGTGACACTGTTTACTTTCCAGTGCTTCTTCGAAGGGGTCGGGGATCATTTAGAAATTCCCCATCGCTGCCGTGTTCACTTGTGTTTCACAGCCTGAGGAAAAGGACCATAAATCAGCATGACATGCATGGTTACAGGCGTGCCTTAAAAATACACTGACTGACTGTAAGCAAATGCGTTTGACTGATTACCGCAAAGTCGTTATAAAAAAGTAATCAGAAGCTGCTATTGACTCATGTTTGACATTTTATGTTTGCATTTTCGCTGCATGTTCGATTCAGCCAGAAGACCGGGAACCTTTTTACTCTCGGCCAGTGAATGGCAGTGAGGGAAGCATGACAGGCAACTGGATGCTGCAAACAGATGTGAACAGGACATCGCAGGCAAAGGTGAAGATCTCTGCACCCTGCTGCCTCTCTGGAGTGATCTACCCCCTTCCCACAAAGACTCAACTGTGATGGCCCAGGCAAACTTTTGAAAAATACCCCCCCCCCCCAACATAAACCAATTGTCACCTGACAGCCATGACAACTGGACACATGATTTAAAACACCAAAAACAAGGATATCATTATGGACCAAGAAAGGATTAAATTAAAACTGAAAAGTGGGTCACTGTATACCAGGGTCAGGTGACAGGAACAGGTCAGCCACTTCCTGTGCTTTTCTGCCAATCATTACACGCGACTGAGGTCTGCTTCCTCTTGCTCACATATAAACACCCCAACATCTGATCAACTCCCAGCTGCAGCCCCACTGCGGCTGACCCCTGCCCCACTGCGGCTGATCCCTGCCCCACTGCGGCTGATCCTTGCCTGGGTCCCATGGCCATTTCTCTTGTCTCATGTTTAGATCTCCTCCCTTCCCTGCACCTTTTGCCAAACCTGTCTCTGCTCCAGTCCTCAGATAAAGTCCCCAACTTCTCTTCCCAATCCCAGTAACATGGGAAGTGCACCTTTTACACACCATGACTGCTTGGACTGAGAGAACCAACGAAGAGCTTCCCATCATTCTCTGGGGAACAGCCAAAAAAAAAAAAAAAAAAA